GGATAGCAATAGGTCACTTGAGCTAAAGCTCAGGTGACCTAAAAACACATTGTTAACCAACAACATTCAGAGCTGAATCTGTTTTCACTAGAATGGAAATGGAAGAAAGCGTTCCCATAAAATATGTTTCCTGCTTAAACCTCGTATTGGCATGCCTTCATGTGTTTATCTGGAGCTAAATACTACATACAGAAACATACAGGTATGATATATACATACAATACCACAAACATAAAGGTCCAGTTACAGGAACATTTATATCACAATAGCTGCGTTACATTAATTCATCCTTTTTGCAGTGCATCATTTTGAAGAATTCTTCTGTCATTAAACAGAACTTCGTGTACCTTACCTTATTTCACTCAACTCAACAAATTGTTACAGAATATAGAAAATTGATATCAAACAATGATATTATGATTATTTGCTGTACTTATTGTTTGTGAACAATTTTTCAAAAGGTTGATTGCTTTCCAGATTTTTTGCTTGTTTTATTTTGTATTAATGCACACGAGACATAACCAATTAATTGTGGCCTTTGCTAGAAACACACCTGATCCTAATTACAGTTTACTGAAATATTCTAGCGGTAGTCTTATTTTAGCACATTTCGCACTTTAGAAATTGCACTAAATCATGAATGCCCAAGTTGAACTTCCTGTATGTTGATCTCAATAGGGTAGTGAATTGAATTTTTGGGGAGAGTTATTTCCCTTAGACTGCTAATGGTGCCGGCAACATCTATGTGACATCTCAGCATGGTCTCTACATCCTGATAACACGCGAGTGATTTTCCTCCAACTTCAAACCAATATTGGGACCTGAGAGTAGTTCCCTACTGCATGTAGTGATGGTGTGTAATTACACACACCACATTTACTACAATTGTATATGTTTTATTGCGCCAATTTCTCAATATGCTGTTAAAATTTGATTATGTGCTAAAATTTAAGTGTGCCAAAATAAGTACGTTTAAAGTAGTCTGTCTTGTATGAATTTTCTGACAAGTACAATAATAGAGAATAGTTCCATAGAACTTTTGTAGCAACAGAATAAATATATCTTTATATTTTTACTTACTTTTTTCCTTCATCATCTCACAATTCATCAAGTTAAGTAACTAAATGTAAGGCATGTGAAATGATGTTCGATACCTATCCAATAATGGACAAAATGCTGTTCTATGAGGAGGATGAAATAGGCAATAGGGTATAAATGCTTTTTATCAACAATCCTGTTTAATATTTTTTCTGCATCTTTCTATGATTAGCAAGGTAAAACAGGAAAAGGAGCAATTACACACATGTACACACATCTATAATATAAACAGCAGTTCCACTGTTAACACTCAAATAACTTTGCACAAAAACAGAGTACAGATAGTTATGTCATGTAGCTGTAAAATGGTACATCAAATAAACACTACCAAGACATCCAGGACAAGTTTTATAAATTTCCTTGAAATATGAATTATGCATAAATAAATCACACGCAATATTATATTTCATGATTCATTTTAAACTTTCCTTAAATAACATGTTAATCAGACATTGACTTCCTTTGACTGAATATCTTATTGTGTACAGGGTAACTTTCATCCAGTGTTAATTTTTGTGATTTCCACTGCAAGATGTGTCTGTGACCAATACACAACAGTTTAATACCTAGCAATGCTAAAACTTCAAATTCAACAATGCATGAAATGGTGGAAATACTCGCTCAGACAGAAACAAATTTTACAGTCAAAATAACAAATCATCAGCCATGATCTCTACAGCATTGCTGTTAATATATCCTGTGAACTTCGTAGTGAAATCTGCAAGACCAAAAAAGGTACAGAAAAAGTTGTCCTTGATCACAGATACATTAACTCATTCACCCCTCGAAGACACATTTGAACTCTTCCAATTCAGTGGTTGGAATAGATCATTATGAAATTTCAGGGGTGAATGTGTTAAAACATCTTTAAATTGGTCTGCATATGTCTGGAATAATATCATCATATATCTCATCTCATACAATTACAATTTTGATTACAATCAAACTTGTTTGGTAAAAAAAGATTGACAAGTCATTAATGGTCCTAAAAACAGTAAAATCTTATATATTGCCACCATTTGTTCCAATGACATTTTTTTTTGGGGGGGGGGGGGTTTGGGGGGGGGGGGGGGAGGTAATATTCCATGGAATAGATTATAAATGAATCATGAAGGAAAAGGGGACCTTGAAAATATGGGCAAATGAAATGAGGGGCATTATATCATTATATCAAGTTTTAACTATCAATATCACAAGCTATCAAACAATATCATAAGTCTGTCGGAGTAGAAACGGCAGATTACGTAAAAGTCTATGAGCATATTGATTGATTTCCTTATAAGGATCTCCCCTGAATATAGTTCTGTTTGTTGCTTGTTCCTCTAAATAGATGTTGAACTATCTAGTTGCCCCAGGTTGGTTTACAAGCGAGTTTTACCGTTACAGACGTCCCTGTAAACCTGTGGGGTGATAGATGTTGAACTATCTAGTGGCCCCAGGTTGGTTTACAAGCGAGTTTTACAGTTACAGACGTCCCTGTAAACCTGTGGGGTGATTGATGTTCAACTATCTAGTGGCCCCTGTTTGATTTACAAGCGGGTTTTACCATTACAGACGTCCCTGTAAACCTGTGGGGTGATTGGTTCATAGCAGCCACTCTTAGAGTTCATATAAAACAGTCTGTCCTTCACCTTGTTGGGGTCAAATCCTTCCTGCCGTAACTCCACCTTCTTCAGCTTAAATGTCCCTGTATAAGCAACAAAGTCACAAGATATTGCTGTTTCCCTTGTAGTTTCAATTTAGCAACAAACTTCAACAAGATCTATACACAGTTAAAGATCTTAGTTTTAATGTTTGATGGAATACACACAGTGATTTTTCTAGACTACCTCCTTTCAACAGGGGCCTGTGCCTTGTGACTTACGGAAAATATCACAAACAAAAAACATGGTTTTGGGAAAATACAGCAGGAAATTTCTAGGGGAAAGGGCTAAATTCACCTAAAAAATCACTGATACTATAATCATAATGTGATAACATCTATTTTCACTTGAATGCTTAAACAGACAACTCTTTTGCAGAAACAAATAATCGTAAATTAATATGCATTCTGTATCAGTCGAAGGGGTATATTTGTAACCGGAGAGGAAAAATGCACAGCCAGACCAAGGTTCGAACCCAGGACCCTCAGAACTCTAGACGGATGCTCTACCAATTGAGCTATCTGGTTGCTGACTATCGACCCAGTCCAGTTCTGCTAAATATTTTACTAGAGGTAATACCGATAGTAAAGTTAATTAAACGGAGTGCACCCTGACATCAGTGTCAGTAGGGTGATTGCTGCCTACCTGTAGTGGCGACAGTCTTCAACAGACGCACAAACACAGGCCGAGCGTACGAGGCCAGGGCCTTCTGTAGTTCTGTCTGTAGATAATGTAGATCTAAATTGTCATTCTGGTCCTCAATGGCTACCATCCCCGCTCTGCCTTCTAAGCCTGAGGAAAATCAGAATTTTTTCATCATTTCAACATTAATTCAATTATCACTGTTATAAACTTGCACTCATTATATAATAATTTTTGTAAATTTGAAAACGCCTGCATAAAGAATTCCGTCAGACATACGTATAAAACATAAATCTATTTGGTAAAATTTATCAAAATACACAATCCGTTAAAGCTTTGTTCAAAACTCAGATTTGTTTCGTCATTTTTCCTTTCCTACTTACAACATTATCAACATCCCTCATTTCCCCATTGTTTCGTGCAATTCATTACCCTTTCATCTTGTACTGATCATACTTTCAGTGCCAGTTATGACTAAGACAAATTATATATATGGACGTTTTACAAATATTTCCTGAACCTTTTCTCAGTTATATTATGTTTTCTGAATTTTGAAAATAAATATATAAATACAGTTTAAACAAAATATCTTTCTATTAGATAATAACACATGTGCTGCATATTAACTTTGATGCCGAAACCTAATGATGATCTTTACAAGACAATTGTTTTACTCTTGACCTATCTGGGTCTCGAACTCGCGATCTGCAGCGCCAAATCACCTAGTCGAGAAATATTCGCAGCTCTAGATCTGATCATCACACTGTGGCGGCCTCATCAGAAAAGAATTTAGGACAGACCTGTTAATTTCTAGTCCAATGCTTACATATATCGATATCAGTATCGCATTTAAGGAGAGGTTTCTGAATATAGGGAAAAGCACAGTGCAATTGGGCAAGGATCCTTAAAGGCCCCTGTACTATCGACTGTGGTTTTTCGTATGTGCTGTAACATTCCCATAATTTCGTTTTGGATATAACTGTACCAAAGTTGTGTCGGGACACTACCGTTGACAAGGGTGTTCAATCAGTTAGTGCAACGGTATAACACTCTGAAGTCCACGGTTCGAATATCAGGCTAGCCCCGCTGAATTTTACACTCAGAACACTTTTATTGATTATATTTTGATTATTTCACCTTTAATATATATATGTATATATATATATTTCATAAACGTCCCGCAAAAGGTATGATTTTCTCTGCAATACGCAAAGACGGAATATAGAACTTCACATTATTTCTGAGATTGTGACAATTATAATTTCCCTGCCGAGCAGAGCGAGGCAATTTTTTTTTCTGAAGATGTAATACTTAACTTGTTCAAGCACTGCCAAGCGTAGAAACCTAGAATTTATTGGACATTAAGGCATAGAATAGTTTTCTGAGTTTGCGGTATTATTCCAGGTTTTATTTCATAACACAGAGTATTTATATTTTATGATGGCCGAGCGGAGCGAGTGTTAACAAATTCTCTGAAACAATGGAAAAAAGATAGGTTTTTGGTTAAAATGTTGATGTTTGTGTCATGCCTTTCATGTGCATGTAGTTTAGGCGAGCATTTTGGCAATTAAATATTGATTTATTTTGTCATAAATATGAATTATGATTTGACTGTTTGTCTTTTATTTTGAATATGTATGCATGCATATGTACAAGGGCAACACCTGTTAAAAAGGACATATATATACATGCCAGGCTTTTATGTTTACATTGGTTATAATTCACCTGATAACGTGATGCTAAGGCGGATGCTTTATTGTCTTTGACATTTTTTAAATTTACATTTTTTAACAGGTATAATAAATCACTCCTGGTGATCATGTGTACAAGAAACCACAGGTGATAATACAGGTTTATCTATCATGAAATGGACTCTACCTTTGAAATAACAATTAATATATATACCTAATTCCAACAGATGGTTTTATCCTCTCTCAACGGACAGAGTGATCACCACACCGTGACATTAGAACAATACAATTAGGTAGACTGTCCGTTGAGCCTTCACCACTGACCTGACTGGAGACCCTACTAATATATAAACAAAAGAGGATTAATCCCCTATTGTTTATATAAGCAATTGATGTCAAAAACGGATAAGATGATTACAACATCCTTACCAGGTACTTCTACTCCATACACAACTGAGTCACAAAGCCTGACGATGTTACTGACGACAGCTTCCACCTCCATCGTAGAGACGTTCTCGCCACGCCAACGGAATGTGTCGCCCGTACGATCCTGGAAATAGAAGTAGCCAAACTGGTCCATGATTAACACATCTCCTGTGAGGAACCCCAAGTCACCTTTCTTGAAAACACTGGCACAAATCTTCTTGCTGGTAGCCGTCTTGTTGACGTAGCCGTCAAATTCTCGGAGAGCATCGCCCTTTACAATCTTACCTACTAACTCTCCTCGCTCCCCTACAACAGACAGAAATGCCATCACTTTATTAGATATACAGAAAATTCATCAAACAGTCTGTACCAGTTGTATGCACTCTTCTTGTTTAAAAATAAAATAGATGATAAAATTAGTGTCAATGTTCCGTATATATACACATTGGAATATCATCAAAAAGATATCCACCTGATTCGAAATCTCAGTTTTTGAGACAAAAAGAAAGTACATGTTGTATTAGCAAATAGATTTTCACAATAAGTTCTTCATTTCATTGCTTGCACAGTTGTTTCAGAAAAACACTAACAAATCCAATGAGAAAAGCATTTACTTTGAACAAAATTCTCCCTCCCTAACTAGTAGAAATACAATGATGTTGTGCATTTATGTATGAAGAAAATGACATCTTAATTAATGTATATTTAATATTTTTACATGGTATGAAATCAAGAAATATTTTCATATTTGATTTAAAGCAATGCTACATTTTCTATGAACAACTCTGTTTTTGAAGTAAAATAAGGTAAGAATGAAACCAAGTGAAGAAGAATGGACCGAGATTCCTCTACAAGGCCCTAAAACAGTCGAGGTCATCATCACATACAGGCACATGTTGCTAGCTATTTGATTGGTCTCAGGTAAAAAAAAAAACTGACCATGGCTTGGCTGATACATGTCCTTTGCAGATTACAGAGGAGCAACACCCGACTTTAAAGCATGATTCTTTTGATTTACTTCAAAGGATCAACCTGGTCTGCTTGTCTCATCAACTGAGGCTTCGATTTGTCATTACATGTTCCAGGGTTGCAGAGAGTGTAAGTGAGTGTAACCCCTGAAGTATCGACGATGCACTAACACAATCAGAAAATGCAAACAAAAATGACTGTCGCCTGCAGCCACAATCATCACCCCAATAGGCATGTTTTCTCTGTTTTCAGGAAATACTCAAATGGAAGAAGAGTCTCGGTGCATTTCGAAAACGTTTACCTGGTTTGGCCTTGATACAGACGCCATTTCTGTCACGCATGTGTTCGCCTTGTTCGTCTACACGTATGAGTGTGATAGGGTACAAGAAGGGGGCTATCATGGTGGTGAATCCCACAGCTCCTACCGTGTTGTCTGGGTTCACTGTCAACATCAACACAATAATTACATTGTGTGCTATAAAATGTTTCATTGATCAGAAATACATGTAAATTATTACATTGGATTTAAGTTAAGAAGACTTCAATGTTTACATAGTCATAATATGAGTAACGTTTCAAGTTTTAAAGAAATACTATTACAATTTCTGAAGCTTGCTGTATTGAAATATCTTATTTGAAACTCGTTCTAAATGAAAAACACTATATCCAACTCGCCCAATAGTTTGGAACTATTGGAGTTGTGATTACAGTGAGATTGACCACAATCTAACGTGTACACTTACGTGTGTTACAATTGCCCTCAGTCGCCCCATAGAACTCTCCCATCTGTTGCACACCAAACCGGTCTTGGAATTCCTTCCAAATCTGTGGCCTCAGACCATTACCGAACATGATCCTCACTTTGTGCTGACGGTCAAAATTACGATGAGGTTGGGCTAGTAAATACCGACATATTTCACCTATGTACTGGCTAGCCTACAAAAAAAAATACTCAATTAACTCAGATCATGATACAACTGAATTATTAACATTGTGTATATATCAGTCAAAAAACCAGTACATATCTTTTATATTTAGCCTTGTTTCATATTTTAGAAAAATTAAATTAAATGGAAAATTTTAAGTAAAACCTCAGTCGCATTTGCGCCGATTTCTGAAAAAGGTACATTGGCTGTTAAAAATTTCTATATCAGCCATGTCACAAGTGGTAATTAACTCATTGCGACTATACCACCGATATTTTTATAACTGACCTAATTTTCAGACAAAATTATTTAAATGTCACATCGCTACTGTATACAGAAACATGTCTGTAGTGTGACCTTCAATATGGCCTCCTTTTTACTTTGAGATAAATGTTTTTATTTTCAGGCTGAATTAAGTGATGATCATATATATGAAACGGTATAGGACAAATGCTCCAGAAACAACTTTTTCTTGACTGAGGTCTAAAATATCTCCTGCAGTACGATTTCGTATGGGACACATTATCTTCTCTAGATGTGTATACACATATCATGGTTGATGATCCTGCTTGAAATAGTATAGGAGAAATGCTCAGGAAACATTGTTTCCTTGGTTGAGGTCAGCATTCCATATATAGGTCGCAGTGACCTAACATTTGTATCTGACTCTCTGTCTTCCCCACATGTATCCAGATAACACACTTAGTTTGATCTATCTCCCCTTCTGTTTCAACAGTAGACTATGTTAGTTTGATATATCTCCCCTTCTGTTTCAACAGTAGACTATGTTAGTTTGATATATCTCCCCTTCTGTTTCAACAGTAGACTATGTTAGTTTGATCTATCTCCCCTTCTGTTTCAACAGTAGACTATGTTAGTTTGATGTATCTCCCCTTCTGTTTCAACAGTAGACTAGACTGATTTGGATTTCCACCTTTTTGGCCCCTAGCATCTTCTATGATTACTCAAAGGATGAAACAGCTGTATGGTGCATTGTCATTCCAATCTAATTAAAATCAGACCTCTCAAGATGGCTTGGTTATCTAACCTGAAGATAATGAAGCTGTCTTGTGAGTTCTGATCTAAATTATCCGGTAGACTCAGCGAAATTCGTTTTTGGCATACTGTATCTATTACCAAATTTCAGAGGTGCAATCATGTGTGTGTCTGGTGTCCGTCCATCTTTCAACATGAAGTAGGTTAAGAGAAAACTCTGACAGCCTTTCAGACACACTGACACAAAGACAGACAAGGTGAATACTATATTTCCTTGATTTTGTTGAAGCAGGACACAGAGGTAGACTACCAGTGGTTTCTCCGTCATGTGATAGCATGTGTATATGTACCTGTACTGCGCATTAGTTTAACATCACATGCCAAGTTATCTTACAATCTACTTACAGTGCAGTTGTATCTCACACAGTCCTCCCAGAACTTGCTGGCTGAAAATTTGCGTCGAAGAGCGAGAGTGGTGCCCCCGAGCACAACCTGCCCCACCCCTAGGATTCCCCCAGCAGTGTGGTAGAGGGGCAGGGAGGTGTACAGGGTGTCCTTCCCAGACAGACGGTACATCTGCTGGATAGCAAATGACATGTAGAAAAACCTGTCAACAAAACAAATGTATAGCATGGGACTAGTGATCTCAGCAGCAATGTATGTCTAAGGGTCCTGAGTTGGCCCCTAATGATGACCACAGGGACCTGGTTAAATACAGTTAAATCTGTCCCTAAAATGGAGCTGTATAGAAACTGGATAAGCCATCTTCATTGTATTTCTATGAAGAGTTTAACTCATTTATCCCTGAAGACACATATCATGAACTCTTCAGATACAAAAGTTGGAATAGTTCATTATGATATATCAGGGATGAATGAGTTAAATATAACCCTAGTTTCTGTCTTCTTTGGCTACTTTGTAACAGCAGTTACTGAATAATACAGGGCTGATTATTACATCTGGTTGAAACAAGCTTTAGTATTGTATTCTACTTTCATCCTCTTTAGTATCTAAAGCACATCAAGAACATTATATAATCATTCACTTTAAACAAAACTGTCAGATACTAAAATGACCAATAATTATCAACAGCTGACCATAACATTTTGTGAACTTACCTGGTGTGTGTGATCACTGCAGCCTTTGGTAAACCTGTTGTTCCTGATGTAAACACAAGGAACAGCTTCTCTGTAAAAAAAAATATATATATATATATACTGTACATATATTTTGAATCAAAAGATTCTCCAAATATTATTATCTATGATATCACTTCAGATAAAAAAAAAAATATGAGTACAATGTATTTTATAAAAAAAAAAGAGGCCCATGGGCTTAACGATCACCCGAGTTATGTAAAAACTGATGTTATTGATGAAAAAGAAATCATTTTGTAACAAAGGTAACTTGAACTAAATGTAATGCAAAATCAAGTTTGAATGATTTCCAGTAGAAAATGAACAAAATATACCCCAAAGTTGCATTTTTCTAAATGAACTATAGTAAATTTCACCCCCTCCCCAGGGGCAAAAGTGAAGCTTGATGGTCATGAAATTCACAATTTTGATAAATACCTCAAGACCCTTCCACCTATGAAGAGTATTGGTTTCCAGCATATCTGGGTCTAGAGAAGAAGATTTAAAAAATTTAAGCCAATTTGACCACTTTTAGCCCCGCCCTTCACCCTGAAGGGCCCAAACTGTCAAAGTATCAAACCGTCGTTTCATAGTTATAATGTCTGTCAAGTTTGAATAATTTCTAATTGAAAATGAACCAAACATACCCAAAAGTATCATTTTCCTATATAAACTATAGTAAACCCCCCCCTCAGAGCCCCTGGGGATGGGAACCATATAATTCACAATTTTGGTGAATATTTCACCAAGGAAGGTTCCTGCAATTTTAAATTTTATTTAAATCGGATTGGCACTTTCTGAGAATAAGTCGAAATGTAAATTGTTTACGGATGCACGATGACGGACAAAAGGAGATTAGAATAAGTCACTTGAGACTTTGTCATAACAATGGTATGACGTCACTTCAATAATACAAGTGGGGTGGTCGGGTGGTGCAGTGGATAGCACACTCGACTTTCACCAAGGCGGCCGGGGTTTGATTCCCCAATCAGATATGAAAAGGTTGGGGTCACCTGCCCGACTACGCAGGTTTTCTCTGGGTACTCTGGTTTCCTCCCACACTAATACCCCCCACGCGCTAACATCCGGGCCAACAAGAGTGATTAATGTAAGTTGAAAAACTTTTTTCATAATTGTTGTAAAATAAATAGAGTTATATTTTAACAATACAATGAGGTCATGTCAACAATCCATCAATGTCACATCAACCCTCGGGAAAAGATTCTTAAGTTGCCAAACACTCGGCAAAGCCTTGTGTTTGACAACTTAATAATCTTCCCCCTCGGGTTGAGATTCCCCTATCTCACCCCGAAGGGGATGAGAGATTCTATTAGTCTCAGACTAGCAGGCTACCTTATTGTCTAGCACTTTAGCATGTCAGATGATCACAGGTCTAGAAAAATATCTAAACTTGTTTATTACAAATTCATATTTCCAGACAGAGAGGACAAGGTCAATACTAGTAGCCTGAACTTACCACTGAATTTTACTGGAACTGCTGGAGGATTGAATTTGGAGACCTTCTCCAGCAGAGGGTCAAGACATGTTATGGAGGGGTCGGCAATATTGTTGGTTCCTGTAATATACAGCTTCAGCTTTCCATTACCATGAACTGCCTCCTTTATATCTGAAAATAAAACAATTGCTTTGCTTCAATCATTTTTTGTTAATTGCATCTCTACATTTTTAACCTCTGAAATCATATCAGTATCCTCAAATGTACAATAATCATAGCTTTTATTTGGGTAATTAATTGTTTTTCCTAATTCTTAAGCAAACAATAAACAATCAAACTCATGTTGACTGATTGATATATTTTTCATGAATATTTCAATTCCAGATAGCACTCTAATTAAGCAATAATTAGTTACTATTTTAAGCAACTAGTTACTACAGTAAATATGTTTGTAACAAACCCGAAGGGACCTCTGCAATAAGTGTGCTACAGATATAATTCACTAAGGACTTTTAATGTTACTAAGGTAATATCTTGCCTGAGGATGACAATATTTTGTCATAAGTAATAATTTACAATAAGCATTGTTATATTAGTCATGTTTACCATATGTTATAAAATAAGAAAAGCTGTTTCTTTCTTTTGCCGTTTGCATTTAATATTTTTTATAGATTATTATAATCTGGTTCCTTTGTGGAATTTAAACTTGAATTAGTTAAATTGTTCTTTTATTTTTGCAGTATTGATATTCAGAGTTCCTCTGCAAACATGAAAACCATCAAAATATATAAACAGTTAAAATACTGTGTTACACATATAATGTAAAATACAGAACTTTTGGTATTTATTTATTTTTTCAACTTTTTTAATAGCTATGTTCATGATGTATTAAGTAAGGCATCCTCATTTTAGACTGACAGTTTATTACCTTCAGTGAACTCCTTCCCAAAGATGACTGCCCTCGACTCAGCTGCAATTATAGAATGAGTAAGCTGCTGCTTGCGGAGGTTGTAATTAATCAAAGCCGACACCACTCCTATCTTCGACAATCCAAGCCAGTAACAGAAATACTGCGGTCTGTTGTCCATGTAAATAGATACAACATCTCCTTTCTGAAATCCAGCTTGGTAAAAATAATTTGCAATTGAGTTGGAGTATGCCTCAACTTCTTGAAATGTCCAGACCTCATCCTCAAACAAAACACACGCTTTGTTAGGATATTTGTTAGCAGACTTTGTAAATAACTTTGCTATTGTAGTTCCTGATCTTAAATGGTCTTTAATTACAAACTTTGTCCTCAATAATACAGTCAGCCCCCTGAAACAAAAACAGAAATGATCGAAGTCCATATCTAACAGCATTAGTACATAACATTAATTAGTATCTTACTCCAGTCCTTAAAAAAAACAAGACAAAAAAATGTTTCAAGAGTTCTTTTCATGATTTCACATTCCGATGCTAGTAATTTTTGTGAGGTACATCAGTGTACCAAAAACCGGACACTTTTCAGTGAAATATTGACAATCTACAACTTGTTGAAGGTGGTTATATAATACATGGCAGAAACTAAAACGTGATAGGCCTATGTCCGATTTTTTTATTTTCATTTGCATTGGCAATTTATTTGGTGTATTCAAAAATGTGATATTCACTTTCCAAACATACAGATCTGCATAAAATCCTGGATACTTTTAATGCAAAAGAAGTTTTGCAAGACGATAACTGCATTACCTCAAATCTCTTGGAAGAGTGTTTATAACAACCCATGTAAAACGCCAGCCTCCCGTAACGAGGTAAACACCGAACACCAGCAGTGTCGTCAGGGTGCACGCCAGGCCGACACCGTACGATAGCGCGGCTCCCAGCATGAAAAAGGCTGCACATTTGACAAGTGCCATGTTGTCAATGAAAATGTATGCAACGTCTCTGACCAGCCTGGCGACAGTCAGGGTAGACTTTGACCCTAACATTGGTGGCCGCCGTATCACCGGATCAGTTATCGGCGTTTAGAAAATATCAACTTCCGCTGCATCGACTAAAAAGGAAAACGGTACACGTTCCGGATTCAATAAACTTAAGGGTGCTAGCTCCACATTTTCAAAGTATTTTACTTATTACGTAAAAGTTAGGGTACATTCGCGTTAACGGTTGAAACGGTTGAACCGGTTGAACCTGTAAAGAAAACGACAGGTACAGATCTGGACCGAGGCTGACCTCAGGAAAATTTGGCACGTTTAGATAGAGGGGTCCAGACGTGCCTGACCGAAACTAAAATGCTGACTATTGCCAATTTGCGTTATTTCTTTCTAAAACAATGTCAAGTCACATGTAGTTTTTAAGTTACGTTATGTAATTCAGTGGACGGATGAAAGAAGGTCATAATAATCTTGAAACACTGGTTTTTTTCTCTCCGAAACTGTGGATTTTTAGCTCTGCTTATAGAACGGTCCAAGCGTGTTCGTTTATCGTGGAAAATTTCTGCACCACACGTACCGTTTCAACCGGTAACGCGAATGTAGCCCTAGTTATATTGTTTCATATTTTAGAACTTAAGTATTTCATCCGCACATGCTTATATATGAGAAAAGTTAGAGACTTAAAATCGGATTATTCTTTTTCAGATGAATCGTCGGGAAAGTCTTGTGTTCAATAACAATAGACTCTAAATGATAACTTTAACGTTATTAACATTAAAATATTCGATCCGAACAAAACTGCCACTAATCCTACATTAGTTGGCTGTGAGCGCTTGACCAGAAATCCTATGTTATACTACGGAATTGTATTCTATTGAAGTGCATGTTTAATTCAATATAAGTTCCCAATCTTAAACAGATATTTGGGTATACCAGAGACATATAATTTTGACGTGCTCCGAAAGTTGTCCTAGGCTCGGTTAATCGGAACAAGGATGTAAGCACACCATCAATCAATCAATCTCCAACGATAAAGACGAATAGAATATCTCACCCCTTAGGGTTAGACAACCCAAATACATCACCCCTCGGGTTGGAGATTTCTCTGTCACGCCCTCAAGGTAGGGGAAGATTATACTCCAGAGATGATATCAGATCGACGGACTAGCCAATCTCAATTGTCAAGCCTTGAACAAGCATGCTTTCTGTACTCAATCCGCCTTTCTTGTAACTCGCTTAACTCGCGTAACACGGTCAAAAAGTCAACTTTAAACATTGAAAATAGTATTCCGCTTAAAGTCTCTTCAAATTTCTTACATACCATTGACAAAATATGATAATATTTTATTAATTTATCACTGACTATGGCAAGAAACTGGACTAACGTCAGTGAAGGCAAATTCGTCACATTAGTAAGGGTTTCTGTTAATAATTCGACCAAATAGGCATGTATCTAAATGCCGACGAGCACCAATACAGAAGAAGATTCGACTGAAATGCCTTTAAATAAACATTGTTGTAAACAGGCCTGAATGACGTCACGCAGCAACATTTGTGACGTCATCAGGCCTTCCGTGGTTTTTCTCCAAGGCACAGGCAGTTTCGCCACCTTCAAACATTTAATTAATTTAGTAATCTTAAGTGTTTAATGGTAAAATTTTGTATGATACGAACAGCTCCAACTATGTGTGTGTAACAATGATTAACATTGAAATACATGGCTTTTCTTAGTTGTGATAGTTAGTTTTAGCACGGAATTAGATTGTTATCTAAGTCCGTGGTTTTAGGTACTGTTTGGAACACAGTAAACGAGATCAAGGTTGCTATAAACTTCAGAGAATGGATATCGAGATAAAGCCAACCATAGCTAGGTACGTGATACCACTAATTCAAAATATCACGTAAATGGGTAAAAAAAAAAGCAATAGTAAGTAGTAAGTATACATGCTCACTGATGAAGCACAATATCTACGCCAGGATGCAGTACTGTTACAATCACGTTGATGAGTAGGAGGATATTTGCGTCAGACGTTTTAAGATATGAAAACGTTTTTAATGTACAAACGAGGCTAGTTCAAGGTGGTATCGGTTGGCCAAACTGATTGAGAATGAGATAGTAAGATGCTAATCAGCGACTGTCGGTATTTGAGTTCATATAATATTAATCTGAAGATAGTATTCGTAGTGTTTGAACAAATTTGATGAGGTTTGATAAAATAGGGAAAGGGTTTTGCTTGACTCCTACCCGGGTGCATATATTATCTTATCAGCTGACCTATGACATAACACCAGACACAGGCTGTGATTGCATCATCCGTTTTCGTTTAAACGGTCAAACCGGTCGGACCACATTTGTTCGTTTATTAAATAAGGTCGGACCTAGTAATATGATGCTGCTTTCAGGCAAGCCTTATCAAAGCATTGCAAGGCCTGCATAAACATTTGCAGGTCCGACAGGATTTATACCCAAAATTGTTACATTCATAAACGGTCAAACCGTTTGTTCCACATAAACGAACAGGCCCCGGGGTTATATAAACGTATACGGAAGTGGCTATTCCATGACCCTTGACCCAACATCCGGTAAAGGTATAATATGATATAAATCGCATGCTTATGACAATGTTAGTATGCGGTAAGAACCTACGACAGTCAACATNTACATAAAATATGTTATTAAAAATATTAAAAAATATTTAATTTGTTTCAGAGCTGTGTGTAAATTATTTTATGTTTGTACTCATAAATAAATTGTATTGTACATGTGTAATTAATAAATATTTTCATTGTCTTTAATGTTTTTGTAATTTATTCTATGTTTACAAAGCATAAATAAAAAAAAACAGTCAAGTACTAGTATTGTCCTATTCATTGCTATGGCGTTTTTAGCAAATGTACGAGTTACTTCCCTTGAAATTGACTTGTGAAAAAACATGTATGGCGCTAATTAGTGTAAAAGTGCTTCGTAATCAAGATCGATTTTCTAACAAAGTACACATTTTTTTTAAATGATACTTTACCAAAACATGTGAAATGAGTATACCAATGGAAAAATCGAAATATTTTGTGGATAAAACACTCACATTTTGCTATGGCGTGCAAAAACTCCTATGGCGCACCTATGGCGCTAAATCTCCTATGGCGCAAATTAGTGTGACCGATATATACTAATCTCTGTAATATATACGTCTCTGTGGTATCAAACAATAAATGTAAATTTTAATGTTGTTAATACAAACTGTAATCAATAGTCTAGTAAATTAACAGCTTAACATCAATCTCAATTCCAACAGAATAGGCTTCTGAAGTGAAAGATATTTGCATTTGTTACATTTTTTAAGAAAGAAAATATTATTTATTGAGCGGCGTGTCGATTTACCAAATACAACCAAAACTACCCAATACAACCCAATACAAGTGTCGATTTACCCAATACAAGTGTCGATTTACCCAATACAAGTATCAATAATTTACCCAATACTACCCAATATAAAGTTAAATGTACCCAATACAAGTAACGATGTTGTGCAGATCGGGGTATTTTTTGGCAAGATCGGCGTTATTTGGAAATCCTTGATTCAATCTTTTTCATTTCAAAATATTTAATTGTTAATAAAAAGAAAGATAGATACAATTATTATAGAAGAAATATAACAATATATGAATTAACAAAGGGACCAGACAACAGGCTTAGCCTATACACATGTAAGTCTTACCTATAGATACCGGTATCCAATTATTTTAATTTCATTAATATATTGAAGTTATATGGGTGTAGGATAGGACAATAACGAAAAACAATGATTTATTAACTCTAATGAACGAACACATATACTCACTCACTTTCATACTACTATTCGTAATTGGTATATTTTATATCGTTAAAACTTGCGTGAATCTATTAGTTTCGTTAGACATTCTAATGACACCATGGCAACATGAAGATTTATAAATCCTAAGAGGTTATACACAGAGAAGATATGATGCCTAAAATACCTATAAAGAGGAAATTTGAAGAAAAAGTGTATTGGTTTTTTTTCTATATTTTGCACCACATGAACAGGAACTCAAGCTGTGTTTCATTCACGAATGGAACAGTAAACGAATGGATACACATTAGTGAAATGCTTTTCTTTACCTAGCCATATTTTTTGATGTCTTAACAACAATATATTGTACCTATCAACAAGTAAACGATGTCTGGAATATCCCCTCCCCTCACATGTAAAATATTATTGATCAAGATATTTTGCTGGATTGTACGTTGTCCTGGTATGGTGGTATAGACTCGTTATTTTTTTGTCAGTTCATTCTGTTAGGTATTTGACAATAGGTAATTCATATATGTGTTTTTTAATATTTAATGAATTAAAATAAAATGTGATTCTCTTTCTAAAACATCCACAAAAATGGGGGGTCCGTGTGCTTCTTTTTTGTCCCATTATTATTTGTTATTTTTTACCTTTTTTTTGGGTCAAAAATCAAGTGCTTCAGTTACACTAAATACGTAAAAAAATGAAAAAAGTATAATTTTCCAGTTTGTTGCATATTAATTGTATCATATTGAACATTATAAAGTTGTACAGCAAATATGAACCTGCTACAATTAAAAATGGCGACGCAATGACAATTTAAGTGATCAATCTAGTGTCAAAAAGGTGGAATTTTGGCCTTTATTGAAGCGCAAGAAATAGACATTACATGTAATACACATTTTCAAAATAGCCGCCGAATTGTTAATTTTTTAAATTCTTGTAAAAAATGTTCTACAAGCAACAGGCATCTAGTTTTTTGACATACCAGTATGTAGTTTTCAGGTGCGTGTTTGCTATTAAGGTGGCTCCACACTTTCGCAATTCACCAGCAAAATTTGTTGAAACTTTCATATAATGGTTATGCAATTATGTAGAGTTGATTTTTTTGAAAATCTAAACACTCCGATAGTTTGGGGACTTTTTTGGAAAATATACCAAAAAATTGAATTTTCGTCAATTTTAATATTTTCCGTTTTTTTTCTGTGTGTGACATTGTTCGGAACAATAACAACAATAATAAAATGAAAAGAAGCATTTCTAAGTAACCCTACAAATATTTTATTTATCGCAAAATATGTAACACATGTTACACAAAGTGTTTTTTATTGAATTTGTACGGATAAAAGTGATTATCTACAAGCTAAAAGCAAACAGGACACAAAGATCTATACATATAGAATGGGAAATTGAACAAAATATACACAATGGCTTTATAATTAATTTATTTTACATTTTACAATCACTTCGATCCGGGTGAGAGTTATCTTCCTTGAAAAAAATCGGAACTTTTTGCAGAGGGGTGACATTTACACAATGACAGTTGTCTCT